CAGTAATTATGTTGACTAGTAAAAAAAATTTAAAAAAATAAAAAAAGAAAGAAAGAGAATTTAATTACACTGTTGTTCAAAGCGATGGTGATATAGATGGGGATATTAAAAGTAGAATTCAAGTTGGTTGGTTGAGTTGGAGGAATGCTTCGGCCTTTTGTGTGATAGAAATTGTTTCGCTTAGACTGAAAGGAAAATTTTATAAGATGGCGGTGAGACCTACAATGCTCTATGGTGTTGAATGTTGGCCTTTAAAAGAGAAGCATAAGATGAGAATGATTAGGTGGATGAGTGTCTTTACACTTAGAGACAAAATGAGAAATGAATATATTTGTGATAGGGTTGGTGCAGCTCTAGTGACGGACAAAATCAGAGAGTCATCTTAAACGGTTTGGTCACATTAACGTCGACACTGAATAACTTAATTATCTGATGATCCAATTAGAAGAGTAGATGTTTTAGATCATTTATGTTAAGAAAGACAGAGGTAGACCTAAAAAAAAGAAAGACAGAGAAAGACAGAGGTAGACCTAAAAAAACTTGGGCTTATTGTATAAAAAATGATCTTAATTTATTAGAACTAAATGAAAATATGACACTAAATAGAACGCAATGGAGAAAAATGATTCACCACATAATGGGATGAAGGCTTTGCTGTTGTTGTTGTTGTCTTTGTGTGTTCGCGCGCGAGCGTGCGCATGTGCATACCACACAATTCTTATGTATTTACATTTGAAACATCTAAATTTTCATATGTCCACACACAAGCCTCATATATTTAATGTTACATCAAGAATACCATCATTACTAATTTTTTTAACTGAAATATAATTTGTCATGGATAGTTTTACGACACCAAAATATTAAAAACATAAATATTAAGCCTTAGATGTTACATATGTTAATATATAGGAATTGTGTAATATGTATATAAATTTACTTTAGTTATTTATTAGGAGGGCATAAAGTTAGTAAAGATATAAGATGGACACACTACAAATCATAGACATAAGGTGTGTACAAGGCCAATTATATATATATTAAATGTACCTGGATATGAAGAAATTCATCATAGCTAAATCCATTGTAATTGGTGCTACAAGAAGCCAAAATATATATTGCTTGAGTCAAGACCCTTTAAGAACTACTCGCACATGACTTGACCAACATGTCATCAAAGTTATGTGAAATAGTATTTTCCAAAGGGTGACAAATTTGAATGCGACTTACTTGCAACATTAAAAATTCTAACTGAAGATCGAATCATCCAAGTCATCTGACTGACCAATCTTTGTCTCAATAAAAGAGCAAAAGTTATAACAAGCTAAAAAAAAAAAACTTAAACAAAAGAGCCGATCATCATGTGACAAAAATCCATGAAAAGTGCATTAGGTATTATATATATAACAATTACCATTCATGCAAAATAGAATTGCCTTCCGTTTCTTATCTTCTTCATAGACAAACACAATCTTATGTTTTCTCTCATGTAATTGCTCATTTCTCGATTGGATTGTTTTACTGCACTAAGATCACAATGTTATAGTTGAACAGAGTGATTTAATCAATAATCATTAATTGATATTTTTATTGTAAATTTTTTATTGATATAAGTTATATTTGTTATTTAAACTTAGTCCCTTTAGTGGAAGTTATGATCAACATAAGTTCTACAGTTCTAATAAAGTTCAAATCACAATATATTTGGTTCAAATAAATATATTTGCTCATGCTCTCCGAGCTCTTTCACTGCCTTGCTCACACAAAAAAGCTTTCCTATCGACGTCGCGGGTATCTATCCAGCTGCATCACTGAGCTCGAGGAATAATCCTTTGCAACAAAAGAAGGAGACTCTGTTTCATCATCATCCATATGTATTTATTGATCGTCGGACATCCATTTTAGAGGTTCTTATCAGCGGCGGGTCTAGACATACTTGGTACAATACTGCCTATAGTATAATCTTTTATTTATTCTTTACAGCACTGTGTGGGCACCTAAGTCCTATGATGTATAAGTAGGAGGTAAAGAGGGATAAACCAGGGTTCAGATCATTTGTTTTTTTTTCTTGCCGCAGTTGAGAGAAAAATACCTTCTGAGATTCTCAGCTCCCTTCCACCTCCTTTACAAGATTGTCCCAATTAGAAACAACCCTCAAACAATGAAAATAATTATTTTTTTTAAGTTGAAGATAATTTATGGTCGATCAAAATAAATTCTAACATATTTATTTTGCCATAAAAGCTAAGAAAGTTTAGTCCAAAAATTATGCATCTGAAAATATCATCATCCATAATAATTGAATATAATTGACAACGTCTTATTTGAATAAAGCAGTTCTCAAGATATTAAAAGAAATGATAATGCATTTTCTTTTTTTTTTCCCCACAAGCAAGTTGCGAAACCCCTTTAAGTACAAAGAGGATGAACTCTTAGACATTGAGATCCCTTTAAGTGTAACGATTGGAATTTCATCAAAAAGTTCAAAGTTAGGAATGTTCACGTTGGAGCACTCCTGAGTGACCTTCGAGAAGTTACACGAATGAGATAAAACCAATGGGCCATTAGACTAAAAACAGACAAAACCCGATGGGTGAGTTCGAGTAGTTACAAATGATATCATGAAGCCCCTTAAGTAGGATGAAGCTGAACTCTTAAACATCGAGGAGCCTTTTGGTGTAACGGTTGGAATTTCGATAAGATAAGAATTGACGTTTAAGTGTTAGATATCTAAATAGATAAAAATTAATATGCATGAAAATCTTCCATATATATATATATATATATATATCACCGTTCCAGCAAATCTCAAAATAGCAGTGTAAAGGAGTTATAAACTTCTGCTCATTAAAATGAACGGATAAAAATTCAAGTGCATGAATCTTGAAGAAAAAAAAGAGAGAATAACATAGGTATCAAAATAAAAAAAATGAAAAGCTTTGTTATGCAAATTAAAAAAAAAGAAAAAAAATATTGAAGTGAAATATCATCAAATTTTGCTTCCCACGCATAGGACTAATTTTCATATCATGTTCTTCCTCCACACACACACAGAGGACCTACAATTTCTGTTTTATTCGTTTGGCAGGTTTTTATATACAAAGCAAACAATTAAAATAAAAATAAATAAGAAATTCAGAAGATAGATTCTACTTAGATCCTCATAAAAGTAATCTCTTTTAGGTTCGTGTAGCAGACTTCTTTTTTTCTTTTGAGGCTTCTCCTAGGTGGGAGGCTTTCATTCCTTCTCCAACAGCCATCGTATATTAAACTTGTCCACTTTATCTAAGGGGCATTCACATACATATCGCCCAATTCATATGTACTTACAAATTTAACATCTAAACTTTGTTTTTTATATTCATACAACCCACCCAAATCTTTCATATCACATACAAAACATCATCATTTTAACTCTTAAAGAGTGTAATGCGCCTTTCCATGCATAGGTGATGTGGTATTTATGCAAAAAATTATAATAGAGGTGTTGGATATGTAAATGACAATTTGGTAATTTGAACTCGAGCCAATCATTCAAAATTTCCAAGCCATCTTTAATAATCAGGTCAAATGAAAATGTTATCTCCCCTCTCTCATCATGCTGGTAAGTATTTGCGTTGTATTCTCTCCCAACCATCTGATTCACTTTAGGATGATTAGAATTAGATCTATTTAAAATCAGGGTGGTTATAAAAAACAAATAAAATAGATTGGATCTCAACCATCCAAAATGAATTGAATGGTCAAAAAATAGTAATGGCTAATCTATAATTAACAATACAAATGCAAAGGATCAACATCCTCGAACAAAATAAAAAATTACGTAGGAATAATTTGTCAATAATCTATCACAAGATTGTAGTATAAGGCAGACTTTATCTAAAGTACAATGATGAAAGAAGCCACAAAAAAAAATGATTAAAAAAATTTAAAAAATGAAAAAAATGGAAAAAGAACCATGGTCATCATCTCAACAGCAGCTAACATGTAGGCCTCTTTCAGGTGAACTATTTGGAAGCAAAAGGAATTCCATAATTTAGTTGGTACAACCTAACTAGTGATTATGACCATAATTAGCCTTTTGCTTTCTCCTGATGTAAAGGAAAAGAGAAGAATATTGTTTTTATTGGATCTGGAAGCTGGAAAGATGTTTTGCTGAGCAGGAAACCATCCAGGCTTCATTATAATTAAATTAACAGGTCTAAACCATGAATTCATACAAACAAAAGATTATTTTGCATGGACCTATTATTGACACTTTATGAGGGCAAAGATTTGTTTGCTGATTGATTCATCATACCACGAAGTTTATGGAAGTAATGGAATTCTCAAGCTAAAACAGCTAATAAGCAACATGATTGATTTGATAGAATCAACAATCCAAGACATTGATAATGAAGGTTGTTGAGAATAGAAAGATCAAATTATGCAATACATGTAATTATGAAGCGAAGCAATAAAATTACAAGAAATTACCTAAATTCTATAGTTTTCAACTAGAATAGTAAGAAAAAGGTTTCTCAGTCCTATCACAAAGCTGAAAGAATAGATGCTGCGGAAGGGAGGCAAACTAACATCAATTCTTAGCTATTTATTACCTGATCAGCAAAAGCTTTCAGCTTGCCATAAAGCAGCCATTAATAATTTGAAAGGCGTCTGCAAAGTTAAACCATCTCCTCTAAAAAATCTGAAGTATTTTCATTCTCTGGATTACATTTCATTATCTATGATGTTCTTAATCATCTCCCGAGGGATCAGCCCTTCTGTTCTAATCGCATTCTTATTTGGATCAGGGCTGATGAAGTAGAGAGTTGGCAATCCTCGAACCTGCCATGGATAGAAGTGAAAGATCGAAAAGACCACCCTTAAAATGTGAAAAGTTGAGACTGATCACGAAGGTTTTATGCTGTACCTGCATATCTCGTGCAAGCTCATACTCATCATCCGTATCAACCTTGATGAACAAAACATTATCCTCATATTCAACAGCTAGCTGTGTGACATATTTTTTGTAAATAATACAGTTTAATGCTCAAGAAACTTTCACTTGCAATAATGTTTCAATTATTTGATAAAGGCCGGTGTTCATACGAGGAACCATTATGTGAAAAAAAAAAAAAAGGTGAAGTGTCAAAATAGTCCCCAGACTATTTATATGAGGTCATTTTAGTACTCGGGTCGATAAAAGTATTAAATTAGTCTAAAAATTCTTTTAATATAAGCTAAAATAAACCCTAAAGATGATTATTTTAGCCCTCATTAAAAGAGTATGGGGACTAAATTGACACTCTTATAGGCTCTAGGACTAAAATGACTCCCTACAAAGAGTCAAGGGATCACATTGGCACTTTTCTCGTGAATAAAAGGCTGATGCTAAACAGTTTGAAACTTTGTGTTTGAAATTGGAGTAGCGCACTCAATTACTCAGAATTGCAACCCTGCCACTCTCTAGCATTTGGATGGTTTCAAGCCGACTGAAAATTACTTCAGAAAAAAATAAGAGAGCATGTGGAAATTGGTCATATACGCGCCAGGGTAACGCATTGACAGATTGTCTCAAATGCTTGCTTCCACTTCCCGTATTGATATTCTCTTTCCAAAGAGCTATAGTAGAGCGATTCGGCACCGATGTCCACTAGCTGATTTAGTGTTTACAGCGGAAAGAGTAATTTTAATAAAAGGCAAAAGATTTAGCACATCATTGTGGTGCTAGTAAAATCTTATGATTGAAACCAAGGAAAAAAAAAGTCTAACAGAAATTCTAAGCTAGCCTGTTTAAGGCCTTGCTTGAATACATGAAATTTGAATAAAAGAATAAGAAAACAAGAATAGTAAGCTTAAATTAATAGCAACAAATTCATACTTATTAGGATAGTAGAAATCCCAATCTCATCAAGCACAAGTTTAACACAATGAACGTTTCTTCAAGCAATTTGAAAAAAATTAAATAGATGATTAATTTAATCAGAAAATAAAATTAGAAGCCAACATAGCTCAAAACAATGCAAAAAAACACAGTTAAAGCACAATCTCATCGCAACAAATCAAATGAGACCGACAACAACTAATTTTAAGCACAACCAAATCACAAACTAAATTGCGTGTTGCTCAAAATGCAAAAAAATATGCCCACTTTCGTGCAAGTCACCCAAGAATACCTCATATTCTCAGAGCCTTTTACAACAAATGACTCAAAAGAAAGAGCATTTCAATATAAAAATAATGAGGTTTGCTGCCATTTCTTAGTAGCCGCAAATTTGAGCTAATTATCTTCTTTAAATTATCCACACTAATTCAACATTTGAATTTCAATTCCCAACTTCGTTGGACTTATGGTTTCAAAATCTATAAGGTGATATATTTAGATATTTAATTGGAGATATCACTATTGGCGATCACTAACAAAGCCCCATTGTTGGAACAGTGCTAGCTTCCTGGGTTTTCCAAGGAACCTACTGGCTAGTCTTGACGCAACAGCATGTGGTCACATTTCAATTGTAGACATGATATGTACCTAAATACTGCTCTCACACATGCAACTTTTCATGCAATTTCTCTATATATAAAATTGGTTTTGCAGAAGGTCGCCTGGGTTGGCCAAAGAACCTAGTGGCTCGCCAAGGAACGACATCATCTGGTCTTTGTTTCAGTTGTGGAAGGGTGTTAACTGCAATGAAATATTGCTTTCACCTGTGCACTTTTTCCAACAATTTCTATATATAACAAAATTGGTTTGTAAAAGGTTAAATCAAGAGAAAAATACAAACAATGATCATCCGAGTGTTTGTAGACTTGGAAGATCATATAATTATCGTTCAAGCCTCATCTTATTTTTTGATAGATTGGTTTGATTCATCAAAACACATTTTGTTCTAAAATAATTTGATAGACCAGAAAAAGTATTAAAAAAAGTGCGGCTAAGGTGTAGTTTTAAAAAAATTCACACTAACAATATCACATATAAAAATACAGCTAAGAACTAAAAAATATAACATATATTTTTTATAGTGTAAATAAAGGTTCATATTTATCTCAAAATTCTAACCTATGAAGCACGGACATGGACAAACACAACACGTACGGGGACACGACATAATTGAAAAAAATAGAACACGACAAACATCTCATGAAAAATTTTTTATGTTTAATAAATTATTAAATATATATATATATATTTTTCATTATTCTTTATTAAAAATTTCACATTATAAATTACCAACAATAAAATTTAATTTCATAAATTTAATTTATATTATAAAACCTTAGGCTTATGAAAATTAATTTTTAAAATTAGATATAATATTTTTCAAAAGAATTCATACTTATAATCCAACTTATCTACTAAAATTTAAAAAATCCTATGACTATAAAGAGTGAATTAGTAACGCTTGATTTCAACGAATATTGGATGTATTTTCGATGCTTGATTTTGATGAATGTTAGAAGGAGCTTCAAAATAAAGAGAGAAGGGGCGTTTTCAACTATGAGATATAATTAAGGCTATATATATATTTACAATTTTTTAATTCTCGTGTCCCATTTTCTTGAAATCGTGTTAAGCTCACATCTTATGCGGTGTTGAGGTGTGTCCCGAATGTGTTCGAGCCTGAAAAAAAAATCTAGACATATTTTGTAGTGTCAGAGAAGTGTACAAAAAGTTTGAGGGTGTTTGGGACAAGTGTCAGTGTCTGATACATGTCCGACAAAGGTACAACACAGTTTTTGAAGTGTCGGTGCTTACATAGATTCTAGCCACAGTGATAAAATTGAGCTAATTAAATTAGCTGAGGGCATACATAGACTTAAATACTAACCCGGTCTAAAGCTTGAGAAAAATAACTAGCCTCCTAAAGCCGAAGGATAGAACACTTCGGAATGGAACAAATAAATTCTACATAAATAGTAGTATCAAAAACTCTAATTTATATGGAATTTAAAAAAAAAGTGACAACATTGTATGAACAAACTCGCGCACGCCAATTACTGTGTGATTTGGTTAAAAAATTTTTAGGAGTTTCATATATTATGTCTATGTTATATTCCATTTACAGTGAACGACTCTTCAAAAAAAAAAAAAAATTGGACATAAAAATAGCTAGGTTTCATCGTTTTATCTTGTTTCAAATCTAGACACTGGTTTAGGTGAGTCAATCATTAAATGAGACTAAATTTCATTAGATACATAAAAAAGAAGTGAAAAGAAAAGCTGAAAGCTGAGTTCTCAATCCAATTTATCTCATGAAATAAAAAGCAACATTTAATTAAGAGAGAGAGAGAGAGAGAGAGAGGTTGATGAGAGAACACAGAATTTTGAATGATTCGCCTGATGGAGAAGACATTAGAGAATTTTGACTATGGTAAGAAAAAAATACATCCACATTGGGGAAGGAAGGAGAGTTTGCCAATGTTCGAAAAAGAAAGAGAAATTTACATACCTAGCACACAATTTTTATTTATTTACATATCTCACACCTAAACCTTCATATTTAAATACATAGCACGTTGGAGCTTTAAGCCTATGTATGAAAACAGGTATGAAGGCTGAGTTCCCAATCCAATATATCTCATGATATAAAAAGCAACATAAAGGTCAAGAAGAGCGAGAGAGACAGACAGAGAGGATGATGAGAGAACACAGAATTTTGAATGATTCGCCTGATGGGGAAGACATCAGAGAATTTTGATTATGGTCACAAAGGAGACTACATCCACATTGGGGAAGGAAGGAGAGTTTAACAATGGTCAAAAAAGAAAGAGAAATTTACATACGTAGCACACAATTTTTATTTATTTACATATCTCACACCTAAAACTTCATATTTAGATACACAGCACTTTGGAACTTTAAGCCTATGTATGAAAAGGGGTACTTCACTTTTATAAAGTGGTATTAATGCTATTTATTCATGTGATATTAAAGATTTGAGTGCACGTGTGTAAATATGAAAGTTTAGGTGTGGGATATATAAATACCTAAGATTTGTATGCTATGTGTGTAAATGCCCCAAAAGGAAAAGACAAGAGTTTCTCTCCTAGCTCCGCTCAACTCTCATGTAGTTACAAAAGCAGTCAATGCACAATCATCATCATTTTAAGCATAAGGCTTAAGTTCATGTGTCCTCAAAGCTCCAAAGATGGGCAATAGGTGTTAGGTTTTAATGGTTGATTTGGGCAATGATTGTTGCAATAATGTTTAAAAGAAAAGTGGAAATTTTTTAATGGTTTGAGGATGTATTCTAGTAAGACACCCTAACAGCCCTATAACAAAACAAAAATGACAAACTGATTCGGTAGTTCGGAGGCTCTTCTAGGCCCATACGGATACGAATTCGATTGGTAACTTGCAACAATCTGGCGATTCTAGTCTGTTGCTTCATTCCGGCTTTCCTTGTTTTCTAGTTAGTCCTGCATCATCCAACTTGCCTCTTCATCAAAATTTGACACAAGACAGCTATGATGATGCACAAAACTCAAGGCATTACACTTTTCACTTCATTTTGCACCCCATTAAATAGGAGTTCAGAATGAAAATTAACCAAAACTTACATGCCTCCCTTTTAACAAGGAGTTCCCTCTCAATGTAATAGCCTTTCCTTTGTCCTAAGCTTTCCTCCCGATGGATTTTAAGAGAGGTTTCCTATTTTTCAGGAGGAGAAGCATGTGAGGAATAAGAAGCTTAAGTCGGGGTCTTAAATGTTTTCTTTGACAGTGTTAACGATATTGTTGAAATTCATAATAATGCGGAATCGGAATTATTTTATTGATATAAAATGGGGCATAAATAACCCTCACATGAAACCTAGAATAGGAAAGACAATAAAAGGAAAATAACATAAAAGGAAAGATATATCACATAATATCTCCAATTAATCAATCATATTAATTATTTGAAGATAAAAAAAACAACACAAAATATTAGAGCCTGAAATGGGAAAGTATAAATCTAATCTAAGAAAATAAATCTAAAATTGGAAATAAAAAAAAAAGATATATTAGAAAAAAAATCTAATAATCATAATCTCTGATCAAAATGAATTATTTCCTAATATATCTTCTAACACTCCCCTTCAAGTTGAAACATGGGCAAGGGAGATCCTAGGAAATAGAACTTGAAGTCTTCATCCCGTACTACATTGTCTTTGACTACAATTCCTGCAGTATATGAAGGTATGCAAAAGACTCCAACATGTAATGCTGCAAGGGAGTTTGCAGAGAAGAAGAAAACCTGCAAATGTCTTTCACTGCAATGCTTGCAATGTGTATATGTAGGTAGAAGGCTCCTACAAGGGAATTTGCAGAAAAGTAGACAAACTACAAGAAAAATGGACTTCTAGTTGACTGCGGTTGTCTTTGACTGCAGTTTCTGCAGTGTCTGTAGATAGATGGAAAACTTATATAGATAATGTCGTAGAGGAGTTTGTAAGGAAGTACACAACCTGCAAGAAAAAGGTATAAGGTATGACCTGCAAAGAAACAAGAGAAAAAAAAAGGAAAAAACTTTGAAAAAGGGTCTGCTGCAGGAAAGACCTTGAAAGAGAGTCTGTTGTGGGAAAAGACTTCAGAGAAAGGTCTATTGCAGGAAAAGGCTTTGGAGGTGGGCCTGATATAGAAAAAAGCTCCGGAGGAGGCTCTTATACAG